CGCCCCCTCCACACTGAGGTTCTCTTCAAAGCCTGACCCCAGTGGAAGGCCCTTCTGGGGACTCCACCAATCCCGCTCCACCCCACCGCGGGGAATGGGCCTCTCTCCCTGCATTTAAAGGCATCAGAGCTCCTGTACACACACCGTGTATGGCAGTAAATACGGAATGAGGGGGTAGGCAGGAGGAAGAAGGGCCGAGGCTTGTGGACCTCTGGATGCCCAACACTGGCGCACAGTAGGTTCCCAGTAAAGTAATTCTTAACATTATCTCACTGTCTTAAAAAAAAAAAAAAGATACCCGTACAAAGCAGAAAGAAAAAAACCACCCCAAATCCAAACACCTAGAATAAGCTAGGGTTAGCTTTTGGTGAACTTCCTTCCAGGTTCCTCGTTGTGCGTCTATTCAGCAAAAAGACTCGATGGCTGGCTGGCTGGCTGGCTGGATAGAAAGATAGACAAAGCAATTCTATAAAAATACGATCATGCCACATTTGCTATTTTAAAATGAAAATCATGAAATGTAATCTGACTAGGACTTCACTGAAGAGAAAGATGCTGGCATAAAATGGAAGAATCCCCAGACTTTAGATAAATGCTAATTCAGCTCAAGAAATATTAATTCCCAAAAGATCCCTCTAAAGGAGAGGGAGGGAGGGAAAATAACAACCATCCAGGGGTGAGAGTCACTGTGTTGTGTGTTTTTCAACGACACATTTTAAATTTAGTTGCCATGGGTTGACTCTGCGTATAAATTCTTCGTAAGTGCACTCCCATTGCCCCTCCACCCACCCCTCCAATTTTTGTTGCCGAAATTTATTTTTCCCTTTGACAGGTTTTATAACATTTACGTTCCGCGCTGCCACCAGACTTCACCTCGCTGCTCTTTCTAGTTCCGTACTTAAATAGATTTGAAGCTGACCACCACTCCTTTTCACAGAGGTTCTACATTCCTGGGCATTTCTTTCTTTTGAATAATCTCTTAGTTGGTAGGATTTCGCCACTGAACACTACTTGCAAGGAGAGCCTGTGGGTTGCTTTGGTTCCTGAGCTCTTTCTTGCCGGGAAAGGACCAGCGGCTGCCTTTCTACCTGAACGGCCACTTGGCCAGTCTGCTGTTCTTGGGTCACGCTCTTGTCCCGAAAGAATGTTGCAGACAACCTTTCTTTCATTTTGGTGCTGTCACTTTATGATCTTTCTGTTGGGGTTTGACAGCACCTGATGACCAGCCTCTCTTTCATTCCTGCCTTCTGAACCACTGGAGAAATAAGATGAAAGAGTGAAAGCTGATATGGGAGAACGGGGCTGGTACTGGACCCCGGAAGGAGGTGGCAGAGGGCTGGATCGGGGCCGGCTCTCCTCCTGAAGGGCAGAGTGTGTCCGCCCAAAGCAGCACCGAGGAGCCGTGTGGGCTGGCTTGCTTCCACGGAAAAGGGGGAGGGATGGGTGGGCTTCAACAAGGCTGCTCCTTTCCCTCTTGAGCCCGCCAGCCCGACGTTCTTCCACCTGAAGGTGGAAGGACAAGTCGGGGGCAGAGGCACGTCCGTGGGGAGCTCCCTCCATGTGGAAGGACTCATCAGGAGGAGGGAAGAAGCTTCTTCCTACCGCCGGACTCTGACTGCTTGACTGTCTAGCTTATATTGTTATTAGGTTTCATACATAGTGCAAAGAACTCTCAGGAACTCTGCTTCTACCGCTCAGGTTATGTTTCTTGCAAATGAGTTTCTGCATCAGCGCGAGTGTTGCCACCGAGAGAGGGTGAGCCGAGGATGTTGGATTTGGCAACTGGATGATTTTACATTACCTTAATGAAAAAATACAGGCTCCCATGGAAGCGGGGGCAGGGGCGGGGGGTGGTGGCGAAAAATCGGACTGAGGGAGGTCAAGGAAAGAATGGGAGAGGGAGAAACAAAGGCAGAAGGTACAGAACGTTCTGCAGGGAAATTCGGGAGTAAAGAGTGGGATGCGAGGGGGCAAGGCCCACTGCAGGATTTTGCAGCCTGGGAAAAAATGCACACAAAGGTGCGTGTTTGTAGGCAGAGAGGAAGAAGCTAAGAGAGCAGGAGAGAGTAGAGATGGCAAGGAGGGAGGACGGAGGCTGAGAGAAACAGAGAGGGGCTGATGGGGGCGGAGGGAGGGCAGGAGGGGAGGCTCCGGACCCAGGACGGGGGGGAAACCGTGGCAAAGGGGAGGACTCTGTCCCGGAAGCGGCCAGGGTGACCTCCCAGGCATCACCAGCCCTACTGTCTTTCCAGGAGAGAAGGAGACCCAGCCACCATCGAGGCACTCGGGAGGAGCCGGCAAAAGGGCAGAGGCAGGTGGGAGCGGGTGAGGATCCTCAGGGTCATGGTCTCAAGGACGGAGAGAAGCCACGGGCAGGAGAGGGAAGGCTGGGCGAATGCCTGAGTGCAGTGGAAGGCTTCTCCCCTCACTCCCTGCTTGGGCCCAGGCAACCTTAAGTGCTGCAAGATTCTAGAAAGGCACAGCTGCTGAGGCGCGGTAGGGCCAGGAACCAGGGAGGGGGTCTTGGTCTATTTTGCCCACAGTGGAGAGCAACTGGAAGGCATGTCAGTAATCCCCGGGCTTGGTTTCCTGACTCCCACCTGAAGATGGGAAGAAGCAAGCCACGCATTGCTCTCTAATTTTATTGGTGAGGAGGCCGAGGCCCAGAGCAGCTGCTGCAGGTGACCCTGAAGCGCGGACCTCAGACCGCAGTGCGCTTTGGCCTGGTGAGATGGGGAAGCCCGTGATGTCGCAGGGGCCGGCAGGCTCCCCGCACTCCCTGGGGCTTCCCTGGTAAGAGAACCCAGCTGAGCGCAGGCGAGGCCTCTGGCTTCCCAGCAGGGGAGGCCCCAGGGGAGCTGCTGGGGACCCCTGCGGCACAGTTGTTGGGCATTTGTGCGAGCAGGCCCAACTGGAAACATCACTGATGCTGTAGGCATGCAGCCACTCATTTTGTTTGTTCCCTAATCGTTTCCTACTCAGACCGCGTGCCAGACCTGGTGTTGAAAACTGGGGGTCCGGAGGTTAGACATGAGCCAGCTGTGCTCAAGGAGCTCCCAGCCTAGTGGCGGAGACAGAGACAAGAGCCCTCGGAGTGAGGTTTGGCTGGCGGTGGGATGGGAACAGAGAGCACGACCCACCTAGACCTGGGAGAGGTGGCAAGGAAAGGATCTCAAGGAAGTGACAGGACAAGTCTGTTTTTTAAAAAAAAGATTTATTTATTCGAGAGAGAAGGACAGCACGAGCAGGGGGAGGGGCAGAGGCAGAGGGAGAGAGAATCCCAAGCAGACTCTGTGCTGAGCGTGGAGCCCAGCGTGGGGCTTGATCGCATGACCCTGAGATCATGCCCTGAGCTGAAGTTAAGAGTTGGACGCTTTCCCGACTGAGCCCCCCAGGGGCCCCGTAGTATTTAGCTTCTCGGGGCTCACAGTATTTAATAGGATCCTTTAGTATTTGTAGGCAAGCATCAGGAGCGGGGGGAGAGGGCAGGCATTCCTGATGGCTGGGGGGCACAGGGCAAATGCCATGGGAGAGAAAAGGGGTGGGAGGGAGAAAGAGCAGCAACAGGCAAGAAACTGCGAATGGCTCTTTACAACCCGCGGCGGGACAGCTGGTGAGGCTGGAGAAGGAGGTGAGGTCCACCCTCCGACGGCCTTGAATGCCACGCCAAGGGCTTGACTTTAGGTCAGTCCGGCTGAAGTATGGGAACGGGGTGGGAGGTAAGAGCATGGGAAGCGGGTGGTTAGGAGGATGGGGGGCTGCTGCAGCCACGGCCCAGGCAAGAGGCGGCGTGACCGTCCGGCGAGTGCTCTTCACGGAGATGGGACTAGCTGCTGGGGAGGTGGTGGGGAGAGAGAGTGCCTGGGACATCTGAGGGAGAGGATGAGTGTGCCACTGTGTACGGGAGTCTGAGGGAACTTCTGGGCTGGAGATGAAGACCAGGGGTCATCCACACAAGGGTGAAGGTTAAGGCCTCGGCGTGGATACCATCACGCAGGGGACTGTGGGGGCTCAGGACGGTCCCTGGAGGAAGAGAGCAGAGGAGGTGCGTCATGGGGTGGGGGGGACTGAGAAGGAATGGTCAGAGAGGCAGGCGAAGACCAGCAGACAAGGAGAGAACAGTGTCCTAAAATCCAGGAGCAGTGTTTCGAGAAGGCAGAGGTCACCAACGTCCAGTGCGGCAGGCGACCCGTGATGGCCTTGTCAAGGGCCATTTCAAGGGCACCATGGGGTCCAGGCCGGGTCTTAGGGGGTGAGAAGCACTGACCGGGAAAGCATTGATCTCTGTCCCATGCACAAAGTCTGACGCTCCTGCTCTTCGGGGGTCACCCGGTCTCCCCTCACTTGGCTGCAGTAAGCCCGGCTCTCTGTGTAAATCTCACCTGACTGGGGCTCCTTAGCGTCCTGTGCCTGCATGTGTTCCCCGGAGTCTCCGAGGGGCCCCGCTCGCCAGCCCCCTGCCCCTCTCGCTGGCCTCCGTGGTTGCAGAGGGCGATGGGGCTCCTGGCAGCCCGTGTGAGTGGCGCCTCGTGAGGCTGTTGAGCCGGAGCCAGGCTGCAGCACGTGAACCCAGGCCTTGGCTGCAACCAGTCTGACAGCATTGTCACACTGCTGTGTCCCCCCCCCCAACTTCTGATATTCTCGCGACCCTTAACGAGACAGTGGCAGGAGGCCTCCCATCTTTGGAACGGAGAGCGACTTACCTGCCGGCTTGCTCGGGGCTTAGGATGGGGCCCCGGTGCTCTGGTCCCTGCCTCAGCCTCTGGTCTGGAGGTATGACCATCCTCTGTAGGGAGGAGAGGCCCAGAGCCTCTTTCCCTCATTGTGCCCTGGAGCCCTGAGCTGGGCAGTGCCCCTTAGGGAAGCTTCTCAAGGCCCAGAAGTGACCCACGGGGCCCACTGACCCCATCCCTGGGTGTTCGGGGCCTCTCTTGGAACTGGCCCTGGAGCCTTGCACTGATCTTCCCTCCCGTTCTCCCCGCTCCCCATGACCACGGCAGGTACCAAGGTCATGTCCCCAGTGTGGCCTTCTTCGGCTCCCCCTATGGCACCACCACCCTCAAGTACTTCCAGGACCAACGCAACGCTGCCCTGGAGAAGAGCCACACTCCCTTCAGCAAAGGCGGCCACTTCCCGACCCTCTTTTCCTCCAACCCCGACCTGGTGCTGAGTAAACGCTCCCACACCCGGGACTGCTGGCTGCACACCCCCGTCTACACCCGCTTCAACCTGGATAGTGACCGCTCCGCCCAGCTCGCGGGGTTCTACCAGGTGGGCTGTCCTGGGCTGGGCTGCTACCTCCTCTCCGTGGTGGTGGGGGGAGGGGGCTGGAGCGATGGTGGGGCCAGAGACCTCTCACCCTCAAAGAGTGACTTTGTTTGCTTTTTCTGAGCCCCTGAGCTAGCAAGGAACCTATGAGTTTGGCTTGGACCAATGGGGACAGGGCTTGGGACTCAGTTTCTTAGATGCCCCCTCCATCCCAGGGACTCCTGGGGCTCTTGTCCCTGCTCACCCCCACTGCGGGTAGAACTGGAGCCTCTGGGGATGTGCCCACCCTCACCTCTGCCCCGTGGCCCTGTGGACCCTTGCTTACTTCCTACTAGAGTAAAAGGCCGAAGATTCACCTACAGGTTAACCCCCCCACCCCAACACACACACACACACACACACACACACACACACACAGGGCCCACTAAGCCCCCATCCCCGACTGTCCTTGCCCACCTGGGTCCTGGTGCCCACCTGACACCTCTCTGTTTCACAGACCCTCTGAGAATGTGTCCCGAGTCAACCTCAGCCCCAGACTGGAACCTAACTGCCCACCCGCTGATGTTCTGGTCCTGCTCCTCTGGCCCTTAAAGTCTCCTCTGGGTCTGGTTCAGACACATCCTCGGGGGCCACAGGCACCGAGGTGCTCGCCCACCTCACCGGGGGCCGGGGCTCATTCTTTGCTGTGTTCCTAGAAACCCCACTGTCTCCCTCTTTTCTCTTGCAAACATCCCTCCAGCCTGAGTTCAAGGACATGGGTACCTCCTGGTCCTTAGGGCAGAGAACTGTATGAGAAGGCAGCCTCCCCCGGGAGAGGACCGGGTCAACGCTGTCAGACGTCCAGGGGTGGGGGGAGGGTCTTTGCTCTCCATCATGGCTCTCACACAGAGGACCCCCAGTCCTGGTGTGGGGGGAGGGAGAAACAAACTTGCCACCTGCTGAGCCAGGAGTCACATACCTTACCTCTGCAGGTTGCTTGTCTCCCTTACTCTCCCTAGCAAAGCTGGTGTGCTGTGGGCCATTACCCCCATTAGACAGACAGGAAGCTGGTCTCAGAGAGGTCACCCAGCTGGGGACTCCAACAGGGGCATTAGGGGAGGCAGCCCCCACCCCCTGCCCAGGTATAGCCAGGCGGGAACTGCAGGTGCCCCGCGTCACTGCTGCATACTAACAGCCTGTCATCTCTTCCTTGGGTCGAGCTGTAGATAGCACAGTGGCATCGGAAGTACTATCTAGACAAGACGGGCATGGTGCCCCGGGTCCCCTACTTCGTGCTGCCTGTGAAGGAGTGGGAACGGTACCCCCTCCCCACCGATCTGTGAGTGCCTGCCCTCCCTTCATTCATGCATTCTACAGACATATGTCCATGGGCACCTGCTTTCAGCCAGGCACGCAGCCATTCAGACTGAGAAATCAGTTAAGATCTGGCCTTAAGGAGGCTACGGTGCAGAGGGTGATGGTTACACAGCAAGGGGTCAGGGTTTGGGCAGGCTCACAGGGAAACCAGGAACATGAATGAGCGGAATCAGAAAGAGTGTTTTCCTGGCCAGATGCCTGGGGAGTTTGGGAGCAAACCCCACCATCTTTGCTGGCCGGAACCCGCAGGCTTCAGCCCTGCAATGGCAGCCTTGCAGCTACACTCGTCCAAACGCCATCACTGCTGCTCTGAGCAGTGAGGAACTGCTGCCCTCTGGCGGACATAGAGGACACTACACAGAGCAGGGAATTGGTCCCCCCCTCCAGCTCTGACCAGACTCAGAAAATGTTGTCCTCGGGACTACAAAATAGCTTTCAAAGTCCAACTGTCCATCTAACAAAATGTGAACGTTCCCCACTGCCTGAATCTCACTTCTTTTATCCAGGAGAGCTGCTTTTCCCAGGGAAGGCCAGCTCTGCTCTGTAAGATAATCCAGGTACATGCTCTCCCTCCTGACACCAAGGCATGGAAATCAAGTCCATGCAGCCAAGGCGTCTTGTGGGGAAGGAGGCTTCAGGAGGTCAGTGGAAAGATCTTGGGTTTCCAACTACATGCTGACCCTTTGCTTGCCTCAAGAACCCCAAGCCTTGCCACCATCATTATTGATAAGGCAGCAAAACTTTCCATTGAGGTTAATGGTTTTTTAAAGACACAAATTTAACTGCCTCTGTAGTTTCCTCTCTGTAAGATAGAGGGACCCATTTTATAGATAGGGAAACTGAGGTTTATGATGGCCTCAGAAACTTGTGCCGGGTAGCAAGTCTCGTTGGAGGTAGAACCTGGAGAAACCGAGATCTCCTGACACCAACTCTAGGACTCTGGGTTGGCCATCTCCACCCCTTGGGTGGCTTTGAGTCAGACCAAGCCTGGAGGCAGTGTGGGGCCTCTCCTGAGGACATATTTCCTCTTGAGATCACTCTGGGCCGGATCTGCACCTCCCCCAGCTGTGGGGAGCCTGGGATGCCCCAGCTCCATTCCTTCTCCAAGTTTTCTGGCAGCATATGAAGCTGATGGCTTCACACGACACAGAGGGCCAACCAGGTCATTGGGAGTAGTAGGGTCAGTGCCTGCATTCAGCCCTTTTCCTGATCACCACTGTGGCTTGGGGCAAATCCCTGCCCTTTCCCGAGTTTCATCACCATCATCACCATCACTACTATCACCATTACATCACCGTCACCATCATCACTGTCACCACCATCACCATCATCATCGTCATCACCTTTTCCATCACCATCACCACCATCATCACTGTCACCACCATCAC